CCCGAAAACCCCAAAACCCCAAAACCCCTAAAAATAGATTTTAAAAGTGCAGTAATTATAAAAATTAAGCTACAAATCATTTTAAGTTAAATCACTTGTATTGTGTGAGTGGGTATTAATTGCTTTTTATAAATTCTAGTTCTTTTGATGCTCTTCATCTAAGCATCTCGATAGGAGTTGTTTCATCCTTGACTCTTCAAACTCCATTCAATTATTCATGAAGCTCTCTAGATTGCAAAAGAATTTCTTGCTATGACAGCACTCTTGTTCTCCAAAGCATATCACTACAATTTAGTAGACAGGAGCGCCTATCCCTATTAATTTCCTCTTCCATCAATGAATATTCAATTGTGAGTTTTTTCCTTGGAGTATTAATTAAAGAGTTTCTATTTCTTTTAGATTTTTTACCTAGTCTTTCAACAGTAGTTTCCCCGCTCGCAAAATTAATGCTCTATATAAGTACTAATATGCCTAGTGGAAAGATAAAGCAAAAGCTGAAGCAGCAAACTGCACATTATACCCCGAAAGAAATATAGTCATTCATTGGGTAGTCCATTTAGTTTATATCAAAGGGACAACAACCAGGGATTTAATCTGAATTATTGTTAATTTAATTAGAGATACCTTGATAAGTATTATTTGCCTCATTTGATTGGCCTTGGATACTTGGATCAGGTATATCATTGCTAAAATCTATTTCAAAATCATCAACATGTGTTCATTGCTTACAATAAATGCTGATAAAAAATATTTGGATAAGATATGCTAGCTCAAATAATATGAATGTGTAAAAGTAGTGATGGTTTCTATAGAAAGTTGAAATATTGTATTTTGTACTTTTTGCCTACACAATTATTGATCCAAGGGCAGTGATGATCAAACCTATCAACACATTTTTTACAAATATTGCAATGCCTGCCTAAATGATAAGGAGTTATTAGAGAATTATAACTACTTACTTCGAGGAGTCCGAATAATTAAACAATCAGGACAAAGACCATTTGGCTCGAACTATTCGAGCAAATCCATAAATGAAAAATTTTAATCCCTTAAAAGATAACCAGGGTCTTTAAGCCAAGATACTAAACTGAAAACCATACAACCAGCAAATGTTATTAAGATGCTTAACTTGAAATTGAAGTTGTCAATTTTTGGAAAAATAAAGCAGGTTAATGCAAAATATGATAGCACCATCAAGCTCAAGAAAATAAATAAGGTTTTTCTAGATTAGACTGTCTTTCTAAGAGGAGGCTTTATCATAAAAATGTCATTAAATAGTCCACCATTTTATAGCTATAATCATTCACATATTTAAAATGTTAACTTACTAGAAGTTTCTTTATTTCGATTCTCATTGCAGGAGTTCTTAACTCTTCACACATGTCGAGAGGAGTTTTGCCATCATTGTCCTATCAATAATTAACTCTCATAGATTATACCTTTATATTTCTTTCTGCTCCTTTTATGAGTAAATGCCTTATTGACCTGGTAGATTGTAAATCCTCGGATGATTTGATTGCTAGATGTAATGGTGTAAGTCCTTTAGAATCCTTAGCACTTACCTCTGCTTCCCAAGCAAGTATGTAACTAAGAGCGAGCTCAGCACCAGAAAATGCAGCCCAGTGCAAAGGTGTACTTTGTTTTCTATCTCTAGAATTTATATCCAAGCCCTAAAGTCTGAAAAAATTAAGTGAAGCAGGTTGGTCTCCTTGTGCTGCCACATGAAGCATATTGATATCGAGCTTATTTTTAGCTTCAATATTTGCTCCATACTTCATCAGCATTCTTATCAGTTAAATATTGCCATGAAATGATGCGAAATGCAATGGAGTGAAGCCTTCATCACCTCTGCTCTGCTTATTTACCCACTCTTTTAAAGTTGCTTCTCTTATTATTCTCTCATTGTCATCCAAAAGAGTATTTTTATATCTACCCAGCACCTGTATGAGTAATTAAAAAAGTAAAAAAACTTACAAACAAGCATAATATCTCAGCCATTTTTTCATTGTTCTTATAAGCAGCGAAATGCAAAGGTGAATAGCCAGATCTGTCATAAATTTCAATTATTTCAAACCTTGTCTCAGTTTCTATCAGATGTCTTTGCAATTCTCTGATTTCAACTCTTTGAATGTATTTGAAAACTAGTTTTTCATCCTTGCGATCGTCACTTGTGCTGTCAAATCTTTCATAATTTACTCTTGACTCTGGATGGATGATTTCATGATCAATATTTGTAGAAGTGTTGCGCCGACGAAGATTCGCCGTATCTGGAGAGCCCTAATTAGACTGCCTTTATTCAGACATTTTAATAAATATTTTAATTACTTTTTTATAGCAATTATGTTTTCATGGGGTTTTGGGGTTTTGGGG